GTACTAAAGTACTGGGACGATTTTGCGCTAACTATTTCCCAGAACCATTTAAAGGGTTGCATTCGCACGGACAGTGTACGTAAGACGGTCAACACACAGTGACGTCATTTGTGTGCGGCATTCAACAACGGAAACAAAGAGCAACGTTAACAACAGGAGGATGGAGGACGCTGTGATCGGAACAGTGTTTTTGTTGTCTCGCGGGTTTCACAATAATGGACTTGAAATGTCGACAAATATGTAAAGCAATTGAAAGAACGGAAAGGAGGACTAAGAATCTCCAACGACAACTGGCAGTGCTACATTTGCTACAAGTGCCTGCACTTCAGCGTCCGTCCATCTATCGCTGTTCTCCATACTTGCAAAATAAGTTCACACAATGTTTACAGTACGTTTGCACGACGTTTTAAATCATGGCGGGTGAGGCCGTTTTCGTACACGTTTGGCCAATCAGTGTCTACTTACGTCACAATTAGTACCAGTTGTGCTGGTTAGACCCTGCTCCGGAGTAGGAGCTAATTTGGTTCTCGAAAAAAGCACCCAGTTCCGGCGGTGCGAAAACGCCAAAAAATGGGTAGTTCCACAGTTAGTTCTGGTACTATGAAAAGGTTCCCGCGGTGCGAAAGGTCTGTCCTGTGTTCATCCATAACTGTCTGGTTTGGTTCAGCTACAAAATCAGACATCAAGAGACTACAATGGACAGTCAGGACTGCTGAGAGGATTATTGGTGCCCCTCTGCCCAGCCTCCAAGATCTTTACATCACCAGAGTGAGGAAAAGGGCTAAGAAAATCACCTTGGACCCCTCACACCCAGCCCACTCTCTCTTCGATCTGTTGCCTTCTGGTCGGCGCTACAGAGCACTGACCACCAGAACAGCAAGGCACAAGAACAGTTTTTTCCCACATGCTATATTCAGCCTGAACAATGAAACTTTCATAATTATATATCATCCATCACAACTGACATACAGTATTTATACACAGAATCCAATATTTGTACACTTGTAAACTGCACACTTTATAAATAACATATCTGCACACTTATATCATATCTGTACATTTATTTAAACAATTACATTTTTTAACTATACTTCCATTTCTGTATATAGTACATTATTTAATTAGTTTTTTTTCTTACATTAGTGTTATATTCCACCCCTACTGTGTTATTCCTATGTATGTCTACACTATAATGTATGTCTGCACTATGTCTGTACTTTCTTCTGCACTGGAAGCTCCTGTCGTCAAGTCAAATTCCTTGTGTGTAAACATACTTGGTAATAAAGCTCTTCTGATTCTGAATGAGCGTGCACGCTGTTTACGAACGACTCAAATTCATTAGCATACATGTTTAACTATCAAATCTTATGTTTACGAAAATTTTGTGAATCCGAAGGAGTTCATTAGAGTATAATGAGAGTTCATTGTAAGTTTATGTCCTTTTATTTGTAACAAAAATTAGCTGAAGTATAGACATATAAAAGAAGTGGTCATGAAAGTGGACAATCAGATGTAGTACACATTCAGCTGAGGTGTGAACAGAGCCTTAATTTCACACACGCGTATACATTTTCTGTTGCTTTACTATTTCACAAGGACCCCAAACAGGGTCTCACATTTATGTCTTTTCATATGCATCTGTTAAGTGTGATGGCAAAAGAAAAAAAATGTTACACGGATCACAATTGAACTGATGTCGTTCAGAATGAATGCATATGGCTTAGTTTTGTAAATCAACTTTGTAAAACAAATTTATAGCTGTCTTTGTATAGAAATGTGCAGCTTTGGAGCCGCTGACGTGAAGCTCAAGCTTGCGGTGTGAAACAGGCGCAAGTCTGTGAATGACGTCTAAGGCCTGAGTGATACATGAAAGTCTTCTCACACTGGAGACACTTGTAAGGCTTCTCTCCAGTGTGAGCTCTTATGTGAATCTTCAGGTTTCCTTTGTACGGGAAACTCTTTCCACACTGAGGGCAGATGAATGGTTTCTCTCCAGTGTGAACTCTTACGTGATTCTCAAGGTACGCTTTGTCTGCGCAAGTCTTTCCACAGTGATCGCACATGAAAGGCTTCTCTCCAGCGTGAGTTTTTACATGATTCTTAAGGCATTTTATGTCTTCAAAGCTCCTTCTACACTGATGACATATAAAAGCCCCCTCTCTTTTGTGAATCGTTATGTAATTGTTAAGGTTTTCTTTAAATGTGATAGTATGATATTGCATGTGGACATTAAGGCTTTTTTTGTGTGCAAAACTCTTTCCACACTGAGAGCAGGAGAATGGCTTTTCTCCAGTGTGAGTTCTCATGTGAGTCTTAAGATTTCCTTTTCGTGAGAAACTCTTCCCACACAGTTTGCAGGTGTATGGGCACCGTCCAGTGTGAATACTCATGTGGGCATTAAGGATTTTTTTCTGTGTAAAACTCTTTCCACACTGAGAGCAGGTGAAAGGTCTCTCTCCAGTGTGAATACTCATGTGGGCATTAAGGTGTTTTTTCTGTGTAAAACTCTTTCCACACTGAGAGCAGGAGAAAGGTCTCTCTCCAGTGTGAACACTCATGTGGGCATCAAATTTTGTTCTGTCAGAGAAACTCTTTCCACACTGATGGCAGGTGAAAGGCTTCACTCTGGTGTGAATTTTCATGTGCCTGTTAAGGGTTTGTTTGTGACTGAAACATCTTCCACACTGATGGCAAGTGAAAGGTTTAATGTTTCTAGTTCCTTTGTTTTGTGAGGACGTCTTTTCAATCTTTGAGTCGCTAAAATCTTTTTCTCCAGTCATGAACTGATGAGGTTTCTCATATTGATCCTTTTCTTCCATATCATTGAGATCTTGACTCTCCTCTTTCAGAGGCATCAGGTCTAAAGCGGAAAGAAACATATACAAGTTAACCCCGGTTTAATGGCACATGGCAACAGACATTCAAATATTTACACACGTAAAGCATCAAAACACAACCACGTATCTGCTAGATCCTATTTCCACAAAGTTACTGTAAACTGTAATCGCAGAACCTTTTGTAAATATTGTTAACTGTTTGTTTTCTTTAGGATACATCCCACATTTTTTAAAGGGGTCATATGATGCGATTTCAAGTTTTCCTTTCTCTTTGGAGTGTTACAAGCTGATTGTGCATAGATAAGATCCCTGAAGTTGCAAAGACTAAAGTCGCAAAACCAAAGAGATATTCTTTATCAAAGTTAAGACTCTGCCACGCCCCCCTAAAACGGCTCGTTCTAACACGCCCCCACATATCTACCTCACTATGTGGAAATATTTGCATAATGCGGCCCAAATGTTCACGCAAAGAAAGAAGGCGTGGTTTCAGTAACCGCAGTTAGTGTTGAAGCAGCATGTCAGGGAGACGCTGTGTGTTTCTAGACGAAAGCAAAAGCACTTTATTTGGCCTTCCGGAAGTAGATGCATTTAGGAATCTTTCAGATCACTTACAACAGAACAGCAATGCATTTTATGGACGACCGTTTCATGAACCTAGGAGAGGAGGTCATTCTGACTTTGCTATGACAATCTGGCGCCTCTGAATCAGCGACTGTAAGTATGTTTTGTTACTAGTTTAAGTATTTGCTATTGACTGTTCAAATGTGGAGTTTTGTGCATCGTGTGTGTGTGTGTTCGTGCATTGTGGACCTGCCTATAGGTGCATATGACTAACGCGCTCTTTAAATGACAAAAAAAAAAAACTGTGCCATTGACTTTAGACCAGGTTTTAGTTTGTCAATGGCACAGTCTATTCCAGTTGCTTCAAAATAGCAATGAGCCTGAACACGCCTCGTTTTCAGACCAGCACGCCCATGAACGCACAAATGGGCGCAAATGCATTTTCTATTTAAACAACGTGGCGCAGGACGTGAAAATGATAACTGCGTCGGGCTGAAACTAGCACAAAACACTTGCGTCGCACCTGATGCCGCCATTGCGCCGGGTGTATGATAGGGCCCTAAGAGTCAATTGATTGATATTGAATGGGAAAAATATATGCACTACAGGTCGACGAATCTGCCGATGTGTCTAATTCTGCTCAGTTTCTGGCGTTCATCGGATACAACATTTGATGGAAAACTGCATGAGGATATGCTCTTCTGCTCAGCACTCGAGGGGACTTGTACAAGCAGTGACATTTTCACCAAACTGGTCACCAAAATAAAAGAGATGGGACTCTCATGGGATATTTGTAGTGGTGTATGTACTGATGGTGCTGCTGCACTGGCAGGTAAAAACAAGGGACTCGTGGCAAAGGTTTTAGAAGTGGCTCCTCACGTGAAGTTTACACACGGCATCATACACCGCGAGTCTCTTGCTAGCAAAACACTTGACTCTGAACTAAACAGTGTTCTGAAATGTGCAACCAAAATCGTAAATCACATAAAATCTCAAACCAGTAGACTACTAGCCAAACCTTGCAACGAGATGGGCTCACAGCACGAAGCATTGCTGTTTCACACCGAAGTCCGAGGGAAGATACTCGGACGTCTTTAATTTGGAATTCGCCCACTGCCTGTTAGATCTAGCTTGGTTATCAAAACGTGCTTATTTGGCATGTATATTCGAAAGGCTTAGCATGCTTAATCTGTCATTACAAGGGCCAAACACAAACATCCTGACGATGAATGAAAGTTGATGCATTTATGAAAACGCTGGAAAGATGGGCTGAGCAAGTCGAACAAGTTAATGTGGAGATGTTGCCCGAGCTTGAGGAGCATCTGGAGGAGAGTGGACTGAGTCTCAGCAGCCTGAAAGAACACGTCGCTGGTCCTCTCTGCACCATTTTGGAACAATTCAAGAAGTATTTCCCAAAAGAGATGCAAACAGAACTGTATGACTGGATACGGCAACCATTTTCTGAATCTAGGACTCGTCTCCCCTCAAATCTGGAAGATGCTTCGCTGGAGCTGTCCAGTGATCGAACATTAAAAACTTTATTTTCCAATTCCACGCTGCCAGAATTTTGGGTCGCAGTAGCAGACGAATACACGCCGTTATCCAGTTCGGCAATGGATGTACTGCTTCCATTCGGATCTATATATTTGTGCGAGCAGTTAGAGCTGCATGATTAATCGAATGCGATTGTCATGTGCATCTTGTCAGTAAAGCCGGTTCTATGATTATTAGTAAATCTCCATCACGCGCTTTCAGATGGAGCAGCGTTTACTACACAGAGCTGTAGTTCACTGACAAGCTATGCAAAATCGCGTTCATAATCGTATGATAATGAAATCGAAGATATCGTTCTGCGATAATGACAGCTGTTCGCGTAGCTTCTCAGTGAACTACGGCTCTGTGAAGTAAATGCTGCTCCATCTGAAAGCATGTGAAAATTCCACATTTAATAGCACGTTTTTACTCCAAACTCACTTCAAAACATCAGTCGAGTGTTTGAAATAAATCCTTCTGTGAGATGACGTGGCTTCTTACACAGAATAAGGCATGCAATATATTTTATAGTATTCAAAGCAGTGATAAAGTGTCGATTAGCATTGCATTATTAAATACTTTATTTTAATAAGAATTATAATAAGATGAACTCAGATAAACCGTATATTGCCGTAGTCGTGTGTTTATTAGTCACGTTGAATCAACAAAAGCAGTTGAATCTTCTGTTTATTCAGCTGCAGCGATAGGCATTTTCTGGGTTTCTTCTGCGAGGCGTATTTGGAGTTTCTCTGGCTTTCGGATGCAGATTTACTACTGATCACAGAACCGTGCTTCACTGAAAGATACGCATGTAATCGCAGCTTCTGCCATCTGAAAGCATGTGAAAATTCCACATTTAATAGCACGTTTTTACTCCAAACTCACTTCAAAACATCAGTCGAGTGTTTGAAATAAATCCTTCTGTGAGATGACGTGGCTTCTTACACAGAATAAGGCATGCAATATATTTTATAGTATTCAAAGCAGTGATAAAGTGTCGATTAGCATTGCATTATTAAATACTTTATTTTAATAAGAATTATAATAAGATGAACTCAGATAAACCGTATATTGCCGTAGTCGTGTGTTTATTAGTCACGTTGAATCAACGAAAGCAGTTGAATCTTCTGTTTATTCAGCTGCAGCGATAGGCATTTTCTGGGTTTCTTCTGCGAGGCGTATTTGGAGTTTCTCTGGCTTTCGGATGCAGATTTACTACTGATCACAGAACCGTGCTTCACTGAAAGATACGCATGTAATCGCAGCTTCTGCCTAATCGCGATTGATCGCCTTTGCGTTTTAATTCCGATTAATCGTGCAGCCCTACGAGCAGTCTTTTCCCACTGTTACATAAAAAGTAAATACCGACCACGTCTTGATGTTGAAGATGATCTGCGAGTAGCCGTATCCACCATCAGGCCATGGATGAAGCTTTTGTGCTGCCAAAAACATGTACTCCCATCCCATTGAAAGGTAAGCCAAAATTAATTTGAAGTATAGTACATATAGTTAAAATATTGTGAACGGCTTAAAATAAGTCGTTTTGTTTATTGTTTGTGTATGCTTTGGTAGTGGGGGTTGCGAGTTCTTGTCGATCTTACACTTGTCGCTGGCTTAAAACCACTGGAGTAAACAAATGAATGAAGTTGAGAAGATTATATAAGATGATATAAAACCAAAACGAGGCAGATCTGACATTTGGACACATTTCTCAGTTGTTACTGGAGAAAAATGGGAAGACTTGGACCTGCTGTAGGTGCTTTACTTTAGCTTGACAGGAACACAATGATCTTCGGGTCTGTTTAATTGAGTGAAATGTTTTATTTCTATTATTCTGGGGTGCATTTCCCATACAAGGACCTAACTTGTACCATATTTTTCTTACACAATGCATCGATTTGCTTCAGAAGGCCTTTATTAAGTTCAAGTTCAAGTTCAAGTCTGCTTTATTGTCAATTCTTCCACATGTACAGGACATACACACAGAGAATTGAAATTACGTTACTCTCAGACCCTTGGGTGCATACAGATAACATAAATACAGATTAAATACAAAATACAACTATACAAATATACAAATAAGGTCAATGTCGGGAGAGAGAGAAGCCGCAGCGTGTGAACGCGCCGCCATCTTAATCATTTAATTAACCCCCGGAGCTGTGTATAGTACTTTTTATGATGGATGGACAGTTATTTGGACTTCTATTGGACTATTGCATCTCACCACCCATTCACTGCCATTATAAAGCCTGGAAGAGCCAGAATGTTTCTTAATATAACTCTGATTGTATTCGTCTGAAAGACGAAAGTCATATACATCTAGGATAGCTTGAGGGTGAGTAAAGCATGGGGTCATTTTTATTTTTGGGTGAACTATCCCTTTAAGTGTAAAAGTTCAGCTCAAGAGAGATGGTTAATTACAAACT